ATTTTGTTACGTTTAAAAACATGTTAATATTGAATTACCATGGTGTATATATATTTTGGATATGAATTGATTATAATGGTATTTGTATATATATATATATATATATATATATATATATATATATATATATATATATATATATATATATATATATATATATATATATAATATTTGGTATTTGAATTACATTTGGTATTTGGATTAAAACTAATATATATTGGTATTTCTAGATTAGATTGTAAAATATCGGTTTAAGAATTACAGGTTTGCTGCAAAAAAATGCAGGTTTAGAAATTTTTTAAATTTTAGATTTTTCAGTAGAAAACCTATGAAAGCGCTTTTAAGAAAAAAGCGCTCTCGTAGGCCTACCTATGAAAGCGCTTTTTGATTAAAAGCGCTTTCATAGGTAGGCCTACGAGAGCGCTTTTTTCTGAACAAGAAGCGCTCTTATAGGCCTACTTTAGATTGCCTGACACGCATTCTGAATACACCTATGAAAGTGCTTTTTCAGAAAAAAGCGCTCTCGTAGGCCTACCTATGAAAGCGCTTTTTACCAAAAAGCGCTTTCATAGGTAGGCCTACGAGAGCGCTTTTTTCTGAACAAAAAGCGCTGCTAAAACCTTTAGCAGCGCCACCTACGAGAGCGCTTTTAAAGCCCAAAAAAAAATGCTTTCGTAGGTTATTTCTGACATAGTGTATCCTTCATTTACATATGTCTACTGCATCAAGTATATTGCACAAAACTTCATGCGTGAGATCAAAGACAAGGAACTTCGCAAAAAAAATTGTTAACATGGGTAACACTTTATATTTATCCTTGCTACTATAATTTATACGACTATCCTCATCAACTTATATTTGTTATTTTTTCCTATATAGGATATGAGTTAACAATCAACATTTAAATACTGTCGTGAAGAAATACAACAAATAAATGTAGAGGCTTTAAGACGGGTCAACAATATTCCACGAGAAAAGTGGGCAAGAGCGTATGATGGAGGTCGCCGACAGGTTCACATGACAACCAACTTAACAAAATCAATGAACTTGATACTTAAGGCCACTTGCAACCTACCTATCACTTTTCTAGTACAATAAACATATTATAGGTTGGGATCTTCATTTGGGAGGAGAGGTCATGACTGAACACAAATGTTGGCTTCTGGACAAGTTTGCACAAATAATTGCAATAGAAGTATCGTTGAAAAAGTGTTGAAATCTAACACTCACAATATCATGTAATTTGATCGCGAGAGATTCTATTTTATGGTTCATGAAACAGTTGATCAAAATGAGGGTCGCCCAATAAGTCATTACAATGTTGACCTTCAAAAAAGAGTGGTGTGAATATGGAAATTTTATAGCTTTACTCACATGTTATCACATCATGTTCTAGTATACACCAAGACTACTTCATGCACATATCAGACATGTACAATGGTGTTAACATATTTAAAGTATACAAATAAAGCTTCCTTGATCTTTTCTATGAAGCTAATTGACCACAATATGACATATTTATTTTTTTACCACGACGAGTCTATGCAAAGGAAAAAGAAAGGAATTTTGTGAGTCTTTTTCCCCCCCCAAGAAAAATAGTCTATATTTTAACATTACTTGAATGACATGATAGACTGGTGATTTTTTATTGGACGACAATATAAAATTATTTTACACTTTAAATACATGTTCATTAGACTCTTTAGATCTAATCCAAATATTTTTATATTTTCGTTAATATTTTCTTATACATATCGATTAGGGTGTTTATGATGTACTTTAAATCTGCGTTGAGGCAAAAAAAATTATTCTAGTCAAAGATAAAAATGTATCAATTCAATTTGGAAAGACTACTTAAAAAAATCAATCAAATCCAATTTAATATAGTATATTCTGAATAAAGATATTCATATTCACAAATCATAAATTTATATTAATAATATTATTATAAAGACACAATAAAATAAAATAATATGTTGATGTAAAATATAACATTTAATATATTAAAATTTAATATTTTAAAATAAAATTCATTGATTATATCTTAGTTAAACTAATTTTTTATTTAAAAAGTAAAAACCAATAAATAATATATTAACATAATATATGATACTTATATAAAAAGTAAAATATAACATTAAAATATATGTTGTTTGCTTTGTTTTAATTTTAAAATTTTAATTTGAAATTTAAACTAAATTGAGCTATTTTTTAAAAATATTTTATAGCAAACATTATTTCATTTTTTCCGATTTTAACTTTTTAAAATTAATTTTCAATTTAAATTTAAACACCTCCAACATTAATTAGAATTTGAATCACAATCACGTATCAAATTGTTTTAAATGTACATAAAAGTAGTAATATAATTTTAAATGTTGATGTCAGTGATCTCTGTAATTTTGACGTCTCGAGTTTTGATGGATTGATTCAAAATGTGGATAATGTTCAAGTTCATAGTTATGCAGATAATATTGGTTATTTCAACATCTCTCACGCTGAGCTGATGACGACATATCATGATTTGCGCATGGCTTAGAAATTTGACATCAAAGACTTGATGTGTTATTTTGACTCCAACGCTATCAAACTTATCTCATACTCGATTAATATTTGACATCACTATGTCACAAATTTTCACAATATTAAAGAGCTTCTTACTATGAGATGACCAGGGTCGAATATGGGTATGTGCAACCTAGTCGGTTGCACAGGGCTTCAAAATCAAAATTAAGATTATATATATATATATATATATATATATATATATATATATATATATATATATATATATATATATATATATATATATATATATATATATATATATATATATATATTTATATATATATATATATATATATATATATATATATATGATAATTATTAACAAAAACTAAATAGCAGTTAAAGCACCAACTTAGAATAATAATAGCACCTACTTTTTTTTATTTAAAATAAAGATCATATATTGAAAAAGAAAAGGAATACACAAAAGCAGGGGACTAGGCCAAAAATCTTACTAAAATGATGAAAATCAAAGAAGAAGAAAAAAGACATATCGAGCGTATTCTTTACAAAATCAACTCTTATGTAAAAGACGATGTTATCAAAAAAAAAAGATTAAGAAAGTAATTGTAAGCCATAGTTAGAAAAGAAAAAAAATCAGCACAATTATTCTCTTCTCAGTAAATATAGATTAGGACAAATGATATATGTGTAATGATATCTAAATATGATTTAAAAAAAAAAAATAATACTTGTTGGATCTTTCATGTGTTCATTTTTAAATTTAATTACTTTTTTTTAATCAAAGAAAATATATTCAAATATTATTAATTTACAAAACCTTAATGAATTGATTTCATTTCCTATTTTTAGTGACACGTGATAATTTTTTTATATAATATTTTGAAATTTATAATAGATCTTCAATTCAATACATCTTGATGTTATAATTTATAAAATTTTAATGTATTAATTTTATTTTATATTTTCTATGAAAATGATTTTTTTATATAATTCTTTTATTATTTTTTACAGATGTATTACTAAATTTTATTTTATAATATATTTAAAATTTGAAAATTAATTACTATTTTAAATTAAGTCATTACAATTAAATAGATAATAAATTTATAGATAAATTATTATACATTTTTAAACAATCTCCTTTAGTTATGACTAATTTATTATTTTTAAAGTTTTATAACATTTCTCACAAGTTTAATTTCTTATATATTATTATACTGTCTCTTATTAAAGCATAGATAAAATATTTATTTTGATCTTTTAATTATATTTTTCGATTTACATTAGTCTCTTAATCTTTTTTTGGTGTTATTTTGGTTCTTTAACTTTCAAAATATTTTATTTTAGTCTTTTTTATCTAATTAAAGACGGTTTAGCGACATATTTCAAAAAAATTCCGTCATTAATTAGATAAAAAAAGATTAAAATAAAACTTTTTTAAAATTAAATGACTAAAATGACATAAAAAAATTTAAAAACTAATATAAATTCAAAAGTATAATTAAGGAAACAAAATAAATATTTTATCTAAATCATATAAATATTTTTTAATAAAAAATTGTTAATATACTATTTAATAAACGTGTTAGTATCAAAATTTGTTATTGCAACTATGTCTTTAACATATTTTTTTTAAAATTTACAATATCTCATTATTCAAAGTCTATTTTCAAAATATAAAATTATAAATATATATATTTTTCATCATTAATTAACATATGTTATTATTATTTTATAGTCAAAATTTTATATTTAAATAATTAAAAAAAGAAAATTTATATACTTTTTTTATGAGAGTTTTAATATAAAATTTGAACAGAGCCTTTAAAAGTGATTAATTTAAATATTTTACTTTTAAAGAGAGAAAAATATTTGTACTAATTATCTAGCAAAATAGGGAGATGATAATGATATAGTGTACTGATTCTTTTAGAACCTTCTATATATTTGTAGAATTTTATTTTTTAGATAATTTCTTTTTTTTTTCTTTGTACAAAAAATTAAATGTTTAATATTACTTGTATTAGTTTATCTAGTATTCATACTTTAAAATGACACAAGATTTTTATTACAATTTTTGTATTAGTTGATTAAAAACGCATACAAAAATATCATCTTAAGCACACAAATGGATAATACATTTTTTTAACACGTACTTTACACGTAAGAATGTGATCAGATTCATTCAATGAAGGCTGAGAAAAGGAAATTCTCCTCATTAAAAAATTCATTTATTTTACTTAGAATTTATGTATATTTTATTCATTTAAAAAGAATTTCGAAAACTTCAAAGTTTGTCATAAAAACCTTTCAGTTCTTTCTGTCCTTGACAATTGTGCAAAATCTCAGGTTTTATCTCCTTCTCCCTCTGAAACCACTTTTCTACTAATTCTTCTTCTTCGTTCTCTCGTTTTCTCTCTTAACTTTTTTTTTTCCACTAACAGTAACATTTTGATTTTTTTGAAGCAATGGTTGGAGGTGGCGGCAGTAATTCCGATATCTCCTTTGCTGGCACTTTCGCCAGTAGTGCTTTCTCTGCATGTTTCGCTGAGGTATTTATATGCATGTCGCTATATATTCATCTTCCCTTTTGTTTAGGTTTTCTTTAGATTGGTGATGGGTTATGATCATGTTGCGTAAAACCTACTTGTGATTACTTTTAATTTATTTATTTTTCTCAAATTATTATCAGTGTCGGTGTTAGGGTCATATTGGGGGGTGTTTAGTGTAAAATCCTTCTGGGTTTTGGAATTTGACCGTTTTGTTTTTTTGTTGTGTATTAATGGATCCTTGTAATTTGACTGTGATGGACTTTGTTTTGTGTGTTTTTCATTGTTCTGGGAATTTGTGCTTTTGTTGTGGCATATGATGTTGACAGGTTGTTGTAATCTGAGAAAATTAAGTAAATGTAACCTTACCGTTTTGTGTTGTATCAGATAGACACATCTTTGGCCTAAAGTGTTGGTGTTATGTAGATCCACTGTTGTGAATGTGATGTTTTGTTGTTGTCTAACTTGCATGTTTTTTTTTTTTTTTTACTTTGATTATTAGTTTATTACGACCCTTTTGCTTGGTCAGAATTAAGTTGAATATGAGTTGGTGTACAAATCTGTTTTGTGATCATATACTATGAAGGTTGGCTCAATTTGTGGTTGATCCTATCCAATTGGTAGTGGTGAGTCTTAGTGTGTGTGTTGGATTGACCATGAGTTTGATGGAAGTACGGTGATTTTGGCAAAACCTAAACTTTTGAGATTCGATAGAATTATAGTTCTGCTGTGATTTCATCAAACTCACTTTGATTCCAAACATGTACAGTCACTTAGGAAATGTTTTGTTAAGTGCTCTTATGTAATTTAAGGAATTTGCTTTAAACTTACGGCTGTTATTTTTCAAGGCATGGAATTGATTATGATTGTTCTATGCTCGATGATTTATAGTTGCAGATCTTGGAATTGGATATTGGGATACATTGATTGTTTTGTCGTAAGTCTTAATTATCTGGTTGGGAGGAAAATTTTTGAAAACGCTGTATTTGATATTCACTGACTGAATCAGCAGTGAAGAGTGATTGTTGAATACTTTTCCATAAATTATCCTATATGAAACAGTTTTCAGTTTATTCACATTGTACTTGTTATGGAGATTGATTCAGCTTATCAGATATTAACTACAGTATGCTGTTTAGCATGTTCCGTTCACTTGTTAGATGTCATGTTATAGTGTTTTTTAGAGAATCGGTCCTAATGTATATTGACATTTGTATCCTCAAATTTATCTTTGATATAGATATGTACTATTCCTCTGGACACTGCCAAAGTTAGGCTTCAGCTTCAAAAGCAAGCTGTAGCCGGTGACACGATAAACTTACCTAAATATAAGGGTATGCTGGGAACAGTTGGAACCATTGCTAGGGAAGAAGGTCTTTCAGCACTCTGGAAGGGAATTGTGCCAGGGTTACACCGTCAATGTTTGTATGGAGGTCTAAGAATTGGGTTATACGAGCCTGTGAGTATTGACTGTGTCTCAAAGATTGTTTATTTATTTGAGTTCATATATCTACTTTTTAGCGTATGCAATCTGATTGTTTGAACTATTTGGGATTTTTAACAGGTTAAGAATTTGTATGTTGGGAAAGATCATGTTGGAGATACTCCATTGACGAAAAAAATTCTTGCTGCATTAACAACTGGTAAATCCAATTATATTTCTGCTAAAGCTCTCAATACATAATGCGTAATCATGATATTGAAACCCCTTGAATTTATCTTTATCAACAGGTGCTGTAGCAATTGCCGTGGCGAATCCTACCGATCTCGTGAAAGTTAGACTTCAAGCAGAAGGAAAATTGCCTCCTGGCGTGCCAAGGCGCTACACTGGATCATTGAATGCTTATTCAACAATTGTGAAACAGGTCTTTTTCTTTAACCTTGTATGATTTGTGTGTGAAAGATAAAAATGATTGTAGTCTTTTTTTATGTTCCAAACTCATAGTTTGTCTTGTTTAATCTCTACCAAACAAACAGGAGGGAGTCAGAGCACTTTGGACTGGCATTGGCCCCAATGTCGCAAGAAATGCTATCATTAATGCTGCTGAGCTAGCCAGCTATGATCAAGTGAAAGAGGTAATGTAAAAGATATTAAACTGCATTTTTTAGTAAAATTTTGTTATTACTTCTCTTTTATCATCTTAATAACCTGCTTTTTTTCTACTGCAGACCATTTTGAAAATTCCAGGATTCACTGATAATGTTGTTACGCATCTTCTTTCTGGTCTTGGGGCGGGTTTTTTTGCAGTCTGTATTGGCTCCCCAGTTGACGTGGTAATTTATCAGAGTTTACTTGTGAATATGAATGTTTGATTGCGCACCTTTTATTGTCTCATCATGTTATATATAGCGTGTTAACTTTATATACTACATTCAGTTGCTTGGTGAGCTTCTAACTATGCAGTTTTATCATTCCCCTAATTCAATTTTTTCGATTTTTCTTCTTCAGGTGAAGTCAAGAATGATGGGAGATCCTAGTTACAAAAGCACCATTGATTGTTTCGTCAAAACATTAAAAAATGATGTATGGTTTTTTCTTCTATTGTTGCTTTTCTCTCTTCCTTCTTTTTCTTGATTTTAATCATTATTAACTGTGTAAAATAAAATACTTTACAGAATTTTATCGTATCTAATCATAAATGGTGGGTGCTTATTATCCTCAAGCATTGCGAGCTGACCAAGCTTCATTTGAACTTTCAGTTTTTATTACATCTTTAAAAATTCTCATTTCTCATGCATGCTTATATGCCAAAATAAAATTGATCAATTTACTTTCTATGTTGCATAATATGCTTTTTTTCTTTGCATCACACTCTATGTTGGGGAAGTGCAGAAGGAATTCGCCAATAACTTATGTTTTTATTGGAGGAATATTAAAACTGGGTCGCGTGATTTGCTTGTGTTCACATGGACTGTATCTGTTATTTTGTGTGGTTTTATTTATGTCATTTGATTGGTTTTGCAGGGACCTTTAGCCTTTTATAAGGGATTCATACCAAATTTCGGACGGCTAGGATCTTGGAATGTGATCATGTTTTTAACTCTAGAACAGGTATGAGTTGAGTACTTTGTGATAAATCCAAAATTTGCAACATAAAAAAAAGCAACTTTTGTGTTTAGTATTAAAATGAATTAAATATTGATAATGGTTGATAAGCTTGTTAACTATTATATGCTTAATTTGAATTTCAAAAATAAAAACATTTCTCCAAACCCACCTCTTATTCTTTTTAATTTAATCAAAACCAAACATGTTGAGTGCAACTAATGTTATGAATCTACACAAATGTGTTAATTGACAAAGTTATTAGTTCTTAGATACATTCTTACGATTTACCTACAAATATTGTGGTTTTAATTCCTGTGTTTTTTGTTTTGACGCAGACTAAAAAGTTTGTCAAAAGTTTGGAATCAGCCTGAGCTTAACCAAGCAAGAGTAGAATTTTATGAGAATGGTCACAGCTGATGGTGCAAACAGAAATCACAAGAAAATAAAACTTTTCTTCTCTTCGATTTCCCTACTGGAATGTGCGGGCATTTTTTTGGCAGAGTAGAGATTAAGTATTAATAAATGATGATTAAACTTTTCATGTATGCTAGTTGTTAAAGTTTCAAATCACTGTTTTATTTCTTTGTAGTTCTCTTGCAATATTACTCCAAGCTGAATAATTGTTCTAAGATGTTTGACAAGTAACGCAACAATACTAAATGGCAACATATATCATTTATAAATCATAATAATCATGCACTCCATGTTAGTAGTTACTTGGTTGATCATGTTTTCCTGTTTGAGTGAAAACACTGACTGAGAATGAAGGGGCTGACAATAATTGAGGAAGAGAATGGTGTCATTGTTAAGGTGTGTGCAACTCAGAATTCAAATGAAGTGTTGCACTACTGTCTGGTGGGATGACTCTTGTGTGACAGATCTCTGCGTACTCGCGTGATGCAGGACTGCTTGCGTCTGATTGGCTTCGAGTTTGGGGGTTGGCTTTGAGTTTGGGGGTGTCAACATTGTTTATGTTCCAATTTATCCACCCTCTTGATGCTCACAGGAAGTAGAGGTAAGCTAGAGAGATGTTCACAGGGTGGAGTTGAATAAGCTAGAGATGCGAATGCATCATTTAAGGAATGAAAGATACAAAAAAAGGGGGGCGAATGGGTCATTCTACACCTGAAAAAATTGAAAATTTCTATTATAGGTGTGGATTTTTTTCGCCACACCGAAACCTTTTGTGCTCACAGATTTGAGGATGGTGTTGTGGAAGGGGAGCTTAGCCCTCATAGTGTTGTGGAAGGGGGGCTTATAGGGGTGTGCATGGATCAATAACCAAACCAAATTGAACCATATATATGATTTGGTTTGGATCTTAAAACTACTTCATTAAAACCGATTTATATTTTTAAAACCGGTTTACAAGTGGATCGATTTGGTTTTGAACCAGTTTCTCACAAAAACCAGTTTTAAAAAAAAACAAATTTTAAACCGGTTTTAGTATATCATATATATTATTATTTCACTTGCACTTTTCATGCACGGTATAGAACATGCACAAGTTCCACCAATAAAACCAGAATGAAGTCTCTGCACATAAATATTTTAATAAAATGATCCATATTTTAAATGATGAAACTCAAACAAACTAATCAATAATTATGAAGACCGAAAAGAAACTAAACCAGTACAAATATAATGCATGTAAAAGAACACTGCAAACCACCAAGAACCCACAACAAAACTGAGATAATAGGAACGCAGTAAAAACAATATAATAACACGATTGAAAAACTTATTTTATGGTCATTTATTTGAAATGAATTAAAGAGTGTTTCAAAATATACGAAGCTTATTTTTTTAGAAAGCATAAAATTTAATGAGAATGATATTTGGATACCCAATAACCAAATTTATGGGTTCCGGTTTACCATTTTTATTATAAATGGGTCACCAAATTCAGATTTTAGTATTTGGGTTGGATTTTAAAAATTGAAACAATTTAGATATCAATTTGGTTATGGATAACCGGTTTTTTTGCACACCCCTGGGGGCTTAGCTTCCCTCTAGTCCAATATGAGAAGAAATGGTGGTGTAATTAGGGTAAGGGTATTTTTCCCACCTTCGGGGTGTTAGTTTGCCACATTGAAGAGTAACAAAAGCGCTGTCCTATTTTGCCTATAAATGTTTTTGAGGATGCATATTAGAGTTAATCCGGAGCCACATTCATATTAGAGTTAATCCGGAGTCACATTTTTATAATAATCTTTATTTTAAAAAATCAATAATTTTTATGGAGATACATTTTCGAAATATAATATGTTGGCTCAAACCACAAACCAGTAGTAACAGACGCATAAACTTGAAGAAAAATATAAGTTAACATCATTACGTAGATGATTGTTAACATTACATAAATAATTTGTAACATAAATTTAACATTACATTTTATCAGGACATTGCAACATCATTAGAATATCTTCGATCGATCTTGCAATTGTCATATCCACTTCAATATGTCCATTTGTTTCATAACGTTGAAATGTATTTCACATAATCCTTAAATCGACTTCAGCTCAAAATTGTTGAACTGAATCTTCCCTTCGTTGTTAATCGATTTTCATAACGTTGAAATGTATTCCACATAACCCTTAAATTAACACTCGTTGTCAGCTCAAAACTGTTGATCTGAATCTTCCATTTGTTGTCAATCGAGGGTGAATGGTACTCAAACTTCACAACTCCTTGATTGTCTAAGTATTATAGAAGATTCTTCAATATTAATTTCATATCAACAAGAGAGGCGTACTTTGCGACCTTAAGTTCATGTGAGGGCTTCACGCAGCTGAGGTAGACAAATACGACAATGCCAATATATGTTCATTCTGGTGTAATGTGTTTTTGTGAACAACATGAGATAAAAGACCATATACTCATGCAAGTTTTAATTCATTTTGGATCTTAGAAACCTTATCATGTTTTAGAGGATATTTTAGATATGCATTTTCGGACATGTAACACATGAGGCCAAAAGAGGCGAGTAGTGATTGTACTGCATGTAACACTTGAGGCCAAAGATGGCAGAGAGTGGTTGCACTGAATTCACATCAGAATGAGAGGGATCTAGAGGTTGTGCATGTATGAGACTGCATGGTTGAAATAACACTTATAAGAATTGATTTGTATTACTTATACCAATAAGATGCACATTCTTTTTAGTACCTTAACAGATAAGAACTCCACAATTAATGAGGCTTAACTTGGAGTAGTATTTGGATAGTGACCTTCTGGAAAGTTTTTCAAAAAGCGTGTGAGTAAGGACAAAATATACTGAAAAGATTTTTGTTGATTTGTGGGGTCAGTCTGTAAACTTTAAAATAGTCAGGGGCATTACAAGACTTATCCTATTTTTTTTTCAATATAAGAGTTTTTATGAAGATGCATTTCTGAAATACCCTCTGTTTGATAGTTTTTCTAGCTAAAATATGATCGCCCTACATTCATACAAAACCTCTTTTATGCAAGAATATGAATTTTTCATACAAAACATAAATTCCCCAAAATTGTTAACAGGTTGAAACATAAAGTTTTCTTAAAAGTGAGCACAATTGTTATACAATTAATATTGAATATACATTATATATGTATTAAATTGTAGCTAGATTACATTGGTTAGATGAATTAGTCACCATCTAAACACATAGTGATATAAAAATTAAAAAGCGTCAAAACATATGTCATCACTTAAATCTATTTCCATGAGTGGTGACGCCTTTGACTTTTTCTTATTTGATGTCTTTTCAATCTCGCTCAACTTGGTGAACACTTCTATCATTTTCAGAAAGTGATCCGACCAAGTTTCATCCTCTTTTGTGAAATGTGTCGTCCACTCTGATGATGTCGTTGGTATATGACACCACAATTTCAAATAAATTTGAATAAAATGTTGTATTTTTGAAAGCTATCTAATACACATGATGTTTCCAAATAGATTTTGAGGTAGCCTACTCCGAAATGGAAAAAATATTTTCAAGAAATCATATCTCGTCAAATCAATACACGCACTATCATAAGCACTTTCTATAAGATGTCTTGTTTTAGGGAAGCTTTTCTATTTTTCAACTGGTGTCATACCACTGACACAAGAATCAAGAGCATTGAGAATCGCATCGTAATTTTCTTTTTCTCCGTATAGCGATGTGTATGATTCCATATGCATTGTCAACTTTAATATAAGCAGATGGCAAACAAATGCGTGGTAAGATTCTCCCTTATTTTACCAAGCAAATCCGAAATAAATCTAAAATCGCAATTGTCGTCAGCTTTAACATCTACAATCTGTTAAATGTATTTGTGCATAAAAAGAGGAATCTCATCAATATGGATTATTTTTGGTACCAGTGGTGATGTAGATGGTTTACTAATACGAGCATCCTTGAAAACATTTTTATTTTTTTATATTTAGGAGTTGGAGAATATGGAAAATATGAGTCAAACATGTTTAAAGTAAGAAGGAGACCACTTGTAGAAATGTCACTCTAGGTCAGCTTAACCTTTTTAGGGGCACCCTTCATTTTAACCAGTTCCAAGGATGGTTTCAAATTTGTGGTTCAAGATATGCAATCTTTATCAACTTCTTTTTTATGTGCATTTTCATGTTGTCATCAGCTTTCGTGAATCTCTCTTATATCACCCTTCATTTATCACATTTCATCATACAATCATTATCAAACCAAAGCCTTTTTTAATGAATGTAAATCTCATCCATATGTATCGGTGTAGTAACCTTTATCTTCTTTGCAATTAAATAAGCACACAAAAGATCGTGCGTCTTCTTAAGTGTACAATCACACTTTGAACCATCTGATTCTATTTAATCTATTTGCTTGACTTCGTGATAAATGAAATTTAATTTCTCCCTAGAGATGTTGCCAACCAATTATGAATAAACAATTTTGTCTTTGAATCAATGTTCTAATATAGTATGCTCTGACCAAAACATGTTTGTATCTCAATATGTTGATTTCAGATCATTTGGTTCACGGAGTCTAAACCTCTACAAAAATCAAGAGGTGCATCTCCAAACTAGTTTTTGGCATAAACAAGGTATGGTTCACTTGCCAAATCCTTTATGTGTGTATCAAACATACCATTCAGGGATAATTTTTGAGATGTATCTTCAGATTATTTGTTGGCATAAACGTGGTGTGACTAACTTGCCACACTCTTTATGTATGCATTGAGTGTGTCTAGAGATACATCTCTGAAATTTTGGAAAGAAAAAATCGAGTTCCAAGTGTTACCCTTATCCCATGGGGTGGGAAAAGCAATTCCCTTAGAGAAATACATGGACAACTGGTTAGATTGGATAATTTTGGGTCAAATGCCTCACTCATCCCAAACCACGTCTGAGTTATGTAAATAC